CTATAACTCGTTCTGAGGGATATAACACCCCTCTCTGACCCCTAAGGGTACTTGGCACAGCCCATGCATGGCACATACAGGCAAAATACATGATAAAATTCTTAAAAATTTATTTTAAGCCAGGTAGTGGTGATGAATGCCTTTAGTCCCAGACTTGGGAGGCAAAGGCAGGTGGATCTCCATGAGTTCAAGGCCAGCCTCGTCTATAAAGCAAGTGCCAGGACAGCCAGGACTATTACAGAGAGAAACCCTGTCTTGAAAAAACAAAACAAAATTTGTTTTAAAGAACTCGTCAAAGGGGGAGGGTAACCTGTAATCCTGGTGTTCCTATAGGGAAATGGAGGCAGACAGAAGAGAATCATATGCAGCAGCAGCAGCAGGGATAACAAGAGACCCTCCCCACCGCCCACCCCCCAAAAAAAAACAAGGCAGAAAGGACTGGCGAGATGGCTGGGCAGTTAAAAGCACTTGCTATTTTGCTACTCTTGACGGAGGACAAGGGGTCCAGTTCCCGGAACTCACATAGTGGCTCACAACCATCTGTAACTTCAGTCCCAGGGAATCTGACACCCCCTTTTCTGTCCTCCACAGGCACCAGGCAAATGGTACACATACCTACATGCAAGCAAAACACTCATTCATGTAAAATCAAATAAACACATTTAAAAACAAACAAAAAGCCCAGAATGGAACAAGTGAACAAACTTAAAAAAATAGTCATCTGACCTCCAGACATGCACCACGCCCACAATCATATAAAAAGAAATTTTGTTTTGTTTTTTGAGACAGGGTTTCTCTGTGTAACAGCCCTGACTGTCCTGGATCTCACTATGTAGACCAGGCTGGCCTCTAATTCAGAGATCCACCTGCCTCTGCCTCCCAAGTGCTGAGATTAAAGGTGTGCGCCACCACTGCCCAGTCATATTCTATTCTTATATGACAATTCTAATTATTTGTTGAACGTCTCCTGTCTGTGTTAAGCTGTGAGCTCAAGGTTAGAGACCTTGTTTATTGTTCCTCTTCAGTACCAAACAGAACCTACGTAGAACAAGCCTATGCCACCACTTCTGGTCCTTTTTTTTTTTTTTTTTTTTTTTTTTTTGAGACAGGGTTTCTCTGTGTAGCCCTGGCTGTCCTGGAACTCACTATATAGACCAGGCTGGACTCAAACTCAGATCCACCTGCCTCTGCCTCCCACGTGCTGGGATTAAATGTGTGTGCTATCACCACCACCACTGATGCACAGAAAACTTTTGCAGTAAAATCTGTATTTTTTTCTTTTAATAACTTGTTTTTAGTCTTACCCTTATACTCACTTTTGAAAACTTTAAACATGGATTTTCAGCAACCTAACCACATCTTTTCTATTTTTAAACCATTTTCCAATGGGGCTAGTATCACTTGAAGAATGGTAGCTGCCTAACAAAAACCCCACTCCCTAAGGTCTAATGGCTCAAAACCTCCTGGGAAACCAAAATCCCCAGACCCTCACAACCAATTAACAACTACGTACACAGAAAAGCTGTTTGCAAATACAAAAACACACACAAGTTGGATAAAAATGGTATTCACTGAAAGAAAACCCTCTGCCATAGCAAATCTGAACCATTTACCTTTTTTAAATTTCACTGAAATTGTTATAAAATGCTATTGGCTAAATAATGCCATAAAATAAAGTCTATTTAAATGTTTTAAATGGACATGTTTAATATAACAATATTCAGCATTCAGAAATACCTTTATAAATGGTATTTTGTCCTTGTCACTTCATGTGAACATAAGGCCGTAACAAAAAGTCAGTGAAGTTTGGTTCATTCATCTCTCTACAGTTATTAAAGTCTAACACTAAGCCCAGTCTAGTTATCACCAAGAAAGCAAAGGTCACCCTACCAATGTGCACGCAGGCACAGATTTCTGCACTTCGGGGGTTGTCTGGTTTGGTGCAGTACAGTTTCAGTTTGGTGTTCTGACAGAGGGTTTCATATAGTCCATGATGGCCGACAACTCAGAGTAGCAGAGGATGACTTTGAATTTCTGACCCTTCTGCTTCCTAAATGCAGGGACTGCAGGCCTGTCACCATGCCCTGCTGGCAAAGCACTGGTTTTTCATTTATTTCATTTATTTATCTGTGTACTTGTGAGCACATACATGGCAATGCATTTTTAAAGGGAAAAACCATGGTTACCAAAGAAATAAATACTAAAGAAGAAACTCCCTTTTGTATTTTGTTTCTTATATATTCCTTCAATTGCATCCCAAAGATTCAGCAGTTTTTGCAATAAAAAGCCAAGAATTCAAAAAAAGAAAAAAAAAAAAGCTTCAGAAAAGTCAAGTAGTTCACCAATGATGACTAAATCATCATGTACTCTATTTGTTCATGAGGCTGTAAACTTTGAGTGAAATGATCAAATTCAAATTAGTTGTTGGCCCATCAACTAGCTCATTAGAATTATTTACAGAGCCCTCTCTCTCTCTCTCTCTCTCTCTCTCTCTCTCACACACACACACACACACACACACACACACACACACACTTTATAAACTTTGGGAAGTATTCCACACACATTGCGGGCGCTGGTGGTAAACCACTCCGACTTTCTATCACACAGCCTTCTTGGGGGGAGGGACATGACACAGGGGATGGGGGTGTGGGGGACAAGACACAGGCATTTGCAAGAAGCTGCCAAGATCAGCATGCACTAAGAACCCAACTCATCCTTTAGCAGTAGAAACAAAGAGCACAAGGATACATTAAAAGATATTTGGGAGATACAGGCAAATTACTGCAGCATTTACTTCCAGTGGATATTTAAAATTCAACCTTTTGCATAGGGTTCTAATACAAAAAGTGGCTTTAATCAAATGGACTTAAAAAAAACTACACCAACACATTTTTATTTACATTTTGTTCTTGCTTTTACTGTAGGACTTTTAATGATTTGATAAACCAGGTGAACATCCTACATGCATAAATCAAATTCACTGCTATCATTTAAAAGGTTGTTAAAGCTTTATACCCATATTATTAATTCACTGGAATTTTAAAAAATCAATTTTCTTTCAATTTTCTTTGCAAATTCTATGCTTTAAGGTATTAACTCACCTAATGATTGATACCTTTAACTCTAACTTGTTAGGAAAATTCATGATTCTTCCTTCAAATCTATTCTCTACAAATATATCTGTATCCCCAAATGGGCAGTGATATAATAATGTTCAACTGTGAACATAAAGACTCCCAGAAACCACGATCCAAACACACCAAATACTACTAAGCTTAAAATGTTCTTCTGACCACAAAGATCAAAGGTCAGAATATTAAGATATTGTAGATACCAGAAAAAGCCTACATCGTTACAAAAACACAGTATCATGACTAAAATGCCCACAACTCTGAGTTCACATACCTGCTATTCTTCAGTTATTAATATTGCCTCTTTCGCATTCTAAAAGGCCCTGCTCAAGCCCAATTCATTGGGTATGCTGGAAGTCAGAACGGTGGTTGCCTTGGGGAAGGGGCAGGTGTTTACTGAATTCAAGGAATCCTTTTGGGATTTCTTAAAGTGTATGTGGCCATCAGAACATATACATATGCAAAACAAGGATGAACTGTCCCCTGAAGATTTCACTGTTAACTTTAAAAAGCATAATTTCTTTAAAGCATTTTATTTATTTATTTATTCTATTATCAGCTTGATACAGTACAAATTCTTATCCTAATAGTGAAATGTTTCACTGAGGCTTGCCCAGTGATTGAGTAAAACCAAAACTTATTATAAGCCACAGTCATCCTAGGGTCCCCCCTGCTGTGTAGCCTCCCTGGATCTGTGGGTTGCAGTCCGATTGTTCTATTTTAAAATTTTATTTATTTTTATTTTATGTGCAGTGGCGTTTTGCCTGCACGAATGTCTGTGTGAGAGTGTCGGGTCCCCTAGAACTGAAGTTACAAACAGCTGTGAGCCATCATGTGGGTGCTGGGAATTGAACCCGGGTCCTCTTAACCGCTGAGCCATCTCTCCAGCCCCAAGAAGCATAATTTAAGTGGATTGAAATGCCTTCTCTAAATGCCTGTGTTCAAACAAGGTTCACAAAATTATCCTGGATATAGCTAACAAGGTGTTTTTTCCAATCTATTTTTGTAAAGACACATCTTGTGAGTGCTTTTACATAGAACTTTTCAAAACACTTAAATCCCATTTTAAGACGTCTCCAAATCTTAGAACCAAAAGAATGGTGATCTACTTACCCTACTTTTGCAAATAAGGAAAATCAAAACTACACTGGGTAGACACCTACCCCAAGACAAGTCAGCTTGTCAATGGCTACGTAATAACACTATTTCCTTATCCAACTGGCCGTTATGTTCCTGACGTTGCAAACAATCTGAACTCTGAATCTACCTGTGGCCTAGAAGATTTCAACATCTGCCACGAATTAACAAGCCCCAATATGTACTTATAAAAACACATTTATCTCCTTCCACCCTATCGAGACGGCTGACAAGTCAACAGTTACATGCTCAGGCATTTTGCTTCAGATGAAATAAAGTATGACATCTTAGAAATCGTGGTTCAGGAAAGGACATACGCAGGTATTGACAAAATCCATCTTCCTTCAAATCTTTTTGATGAATCCAGGACTCACCAGACACCAGTTGGAACCATTAACTGCTGTGAGTGACCCGCGGGGAAGAGCTCCCACCGAGTAAAAAAGCCCTACGTGGGGCAGCAGCATCCCACCCCACTCTAGGCGCACAGCAAGCTCTCGAGGTGACCCGGGTTTGACAGCTTAGTTTTAGACCCCACGCGAACAGCTGGTATCTTGGGGAAAACTTAACACGACGTCTATCCTTTCCGCGGGAATTTATTCCAGGTCTCGCAAGGCTTTTCTGCTCCGCCAAGAGCAGGCCTTGCTTCCCCGGACACCCGGCTCGTCCCTCCAGTCGTCTTTACGGCGAACAAAACAAGACTCGGGAACACAAATCGAAACGGTCACGGACCTGCCCAGTGGCCTCGGGACGCTGACCGGCTCCGCGCAGGGGGTCGGGCGGCGGCGGCGCTTCTCGAGCCGATGCGCCGGGGAGGCCGGAGCCACCGGTTGCGGAGGAGGCTAAGAAGCTCGCCCACCGCGCGGCTGCTGCCTGGGCCCTGCGAAGTTGAGCGGCCGCGCGGGCTG